TCAGCCCACTGAGCATGTCACTGTGCAGGTTAAGAGAAAGGAAAGCTGGATCTACACTCTAACCTGGAAGGAGCTACTCTACCTTCTCCCATTCCCTCTGTCTCTCCACCTCCCTGCTTCAGCCTCACAGCCACCCCACTAGGAAGGGTTCTATATGATTCTCAGCCTTGCTCTTGAGAAGGTAAGGAGGGCAAAAGAAAGTGCTGCCACATGGCTCCTGCCCTGAGCCCAGGCTGGTGATGAAGCAGAAGGCAGTGGAACTGTGGTCACCAGGGCTAGGCAGAGAGTAGGCAGCCTCAGCCTAGGACAGAAGCTCCAAGAGTAGTTTTCCAATTTGCTCAGTGCCATGTTCTTCAAAGCCAAAACCTGCAGGTGTGATGACGGATACCAAGAGGAAAACCTCCCACTGGCTGTCAATGGCCTGCAGGCCCAGCTCCTGCTGCAGCTCCACCACACTCATGGCCTCCCTCAGGTCCTGCGTGTTGGCCACCACAATGACAGGGAGGTCAGGGTCCTTGTCTAGCAGGATGCACAGTTTGTTGGGACCAGGGAAGCCTCAGCCAGTCAGCTGAGTCCACCATGAACACTCGTACATCCACCTCATTCACAAACTCCTTCCAGTAGAAGCACAGGTTCTGGCTGCCACCAATTTCCAGAAGGTCTACCTCAAAGTCTTTGTCGGGCAGCCGCACGGAGTTGAACCCCAGGTGGGGACATGGCCTTCCAGTGGTGTCTTCCCCAATAGCACGTGCAGGAACATGCTCTTCCCAGAGCCATCCAGCCCCAGCACCAGCACCAGCACCAGCACCAGCACCTCAAGCTGTTCCAGCTGCTCCAGAGCCGGTTCCTCCTCTTCCTCATCCTCCGGCTCCCACTTGTCCTACTGAGGGAGGCACAGCCTCCGCATCCCACCAGGCCTCCCTGAGGTCCCAGCAGCACTCCCATTGGACGGATGAAGATGGTCCAGAGGATGAAGTACATCAAGCCAAGCACAGCCACAGAGCCGCCCAGTGCCAGCACCAAGGGGCCCAGCAGCTGTGGCACCATGCAGCCCAGTGAAGGGTGCACTGGTGGAGCCAGGCCTCCTGCGGAAGACAGCCCCACCATGACCCTAATACACAACTATTAAAATGAATGAGCTACATTCACAAAGAACCTAGATAAATCTTAAAAACCATAAGCCAAAGCCATACACAAAAGAATGTATTTTGATCTTCAAAACTGATGAAACTAACTCATATCATTTTGTAAGGCATACTTGAAATTTTTAATTATAAGGCAAAGCAAATTTTTTAAATTACCATAAAAGTTAAAAAATAAGTAATTATATACAGGAGAGAGGCAGAAATGATAAGGAAAATGATTATGAGTATAACTCAATGGTAGAATGCTTAACATATATGTGGCTCTGGGTTCAAATCCCAGTATCAAAAGGAAAAAAGAAAAAAAAAAAGATAAGGGACATGAGCCAAGGGCTCTTGGAAAGCTGTTCTGTCACCAGAGCACTACTTATATAGATGTGCATTTAGTTATAATTACTAAACTGTACACGTCTTTGTATTTTTCTGAGTATATGCTACATTAAAAATTAAAATGATTTTAAAATCTTCAAGTGAGAGAAGAGGCAAGGACAGAAGCAGGAAGATCAGTCAATAATTCAGATAAGAAATTACATGCTTGAATCATAATGCTAGCAGCTAAAGTAAGAAGTAGCACTAAGAACCAGTCTGACCGTATTTGGGGCTATGCCCTAAAACAAAGCTAACAAGATTCTCTTTTTGACTGATATGTCAGAGAGGATTAGTCAAAACAGTGGCAAAATATTTGACCTGAGCCACTGGAAGGCTGGGCTTACACTCGGAATGGAGAAGGCTAGACAAGAACAGACTGGGAGGGGTGTGGTGGATATCAAAACCTCTTGATTGATACTCATTAAAGGCCAAATGGACAAGTTGACAGGTAGGTGAGTGCATAATTCTGGAGAGATAGATTTGAGAATTGTGTCAGGCTACATATCAATATTTAAAGTCATTAGACCAAATAAGGTCACCAAAGGAATAACAGATCCAAGAGGAAAGCCTGGACTATGCCTAACGTGCCCTAAAAGAGGAAGCGAACAGCTAGAACAAATGCTCAGGAATGTCAATTGGATTTAGCTATGCAAGAATCATTGGCTCCTTTTTTTTTTTAATATTGATATCAGGGATTGATCCCTACAAAAGAGGGCTAGAGATGTAGCTCTTTTTCACTTTGAAATAGGCTCTTAGCTAATTCACTAAGGCCAGGCTCAAACTTGCAATCCTCCTTCCTGCTTCAGCCTCCCAGAATGCTGGGATTACAGGCATGAGCTACCAAACCTGGCTCACAGGTGCCTGTAACACAAAACACTAATACTATCAATGATTCTGAATAGAACAAAATTTTATACATTATAAACTTGTATATGTCCAATACATTTAGATCTATTTCTATTTCTCAATTCTGTTTTGTCCTATGGACTTATTTACAAAATTAAAAGTTTTATCCAGGTGTTGTGGCACACCCCTAAAATCCCAATACTTGGGAGGCTGAGGCTGGAGGATCGCCATGAGTTTGAGGCCTGCCTGAGCTACATAGTAAGACCCTATCTCAAAAAAAAAAAGAAAGAAAGAAAAAGTTGAAAGTTTTAGTTATTATAGATTTATATTTTGGCACCTGATAGAACAGTCCCCCTTACACTTCTTTCATAGAATATTTATTCGTACATGTTTCTTACCCATAAACTTTATAATTACCCTGCATAGTCCTTTTTTTTTAAAATGCTGTTAGTATTTTCATCACTCTTTTATTAAAAGAATATTTAATGTGTAAAATAGTTAACCCTTAACAATTGGTGCAGAGTTAAAAACACAGGTTTTTTGGGGAAAAAAGTGTCACTGCATTGTCCTGGCTAGTTTCAAACTCATAATCCTCCTGCTTCAGCCTCCTCTGTACCTGGGATAGCACATATAAGCCATGACACCTGGCCAGAAATATAGCTACTGTCTTAGTTACTTCTCTCTTGTTGCTGAGACAAAATACCTAATACCTAGAAGTTAAGGGAGGAAAGGTTTATTTAGCTCACAGTTTACAGATGTTTCAGTCCATAATCGGCTGGCTCCAAGGCAAGGTGGTACAGCAGATAGGCATTGCAGAGGAGAAACAGTTCATGTCAGATAGAAGGTAGCATAGCAACAAGGGACAAGACAAGCTTCCTTCTGTTCCTTGTACCCAGATCACCAGGATTAGGGTGGTACCAAACCAATCATTCAGTAATCACCCACCCTTAATCCCAGAACCCTTAATCTTAGCATTACACCATGAATCAGTCAAACACTACAGATTCAGCCACCTCTGACAAAGCCCCACACAGGATGGCATGAGGCTTTGAGGAAACATCTAGACACAAACTCTAACCGTCAGTAACTAAAGTTTTGTGAAATAAAGGATAGCATTGCCTAAGATTTAAAAAAAAAAAAAAAAAAAAAAACAATGAGATGGCACAGCTGTCTGGAATGAATTCCAGCATCTAGAATCTGAGTGGGATAGTATAAAATACAAATGGAAAACAAGAAGGTACGACCAGAGATATGACAGGAAATGCCAGGTGCCAGACAGAGATCGCAGGAGCCATGGGAATAGAATCCTATGAAAACCCTAAGGAAAACAGGCACCAAACAGCATTTACAGTGACACAGAAGTCACTGATGATCTTAGAAGAACAGGTTTAGAGGACTGGGAGACAGCACTAAACTAACACGTTAAGGAAAGGATGAGAAGAGAGAATTAGCTCAAGAGCTACAAGAGTTTGCAAACTAGGAGAAGGTTTTTGACCATGAAGACCTAAACAAATTAAATTCTGATGAAGGATCCAGTACTGAAGGAAAAACAGATTAGTAAAAGAACAGAGAAAAGGGACAGCACAGGGTTGTGGAGGAGTTGTGCAGAGCTGTGTTCAATGACACACATGTATGCAGGGGAAGGGCAAAGGATGGCTTCAGCCAGAGGAATTGGTCTCACACCTCTGTTCATAACAGCAGCAAAGAGGAGAAAACTGCAGCACTAGCTAGATATAGTCAGATAGACAGACAGACAGATTTAACGGGCAAAGTTCAGGGAATTCTGCCTCATCCAGGAAGTAAGCAACTTGGTCATCGTAATTTCTGAATGCCACCCCTGTGGTTAAACATTTATGATATTTTCAGTCTGTCACTAGGAAAAAAATAGTTGGGTCAGAGTGCAAGCACTTTTGAAATTTCTGAACTGCTATTGCCCAAGTACCTTGAGAAGAAAGTGTTTCCCAACTACAGTTGTTCTTCAATTCAATTGTTCTCTCACAGTGAATGACTATCGTCACTTTTTCCCCCAATCTTTCTGTCTTGATATTTAATGCTCATTTTTGTTACTATTTTAAGAGATAAAAGCTTATTTTTTAAAAATACCGAGTATGGGTAATTACTCAAATGTAAATTCAAGAAGGCTGATTTTATAAACCATTTAAAATGTCATTCATTTAAAGTCATGCAATTCCCAAATGAAGTTAGAGGCCAGATTTATCCATTACCATTATAAAAAATAAGTAATAAAATGGCAAGTAGTTGAAGAAACAAACATGTGACATCAGAAACAACTTCACAGATGATAGAAAAACTCTCATGAGAAACCTTCTGAATAGGAGTCAATACATAGTCATGTGTCTGTGCAGAGGACAGGATCTTTTGATTACTTGAAAACCATTTGTAATTCAGGTCAACAAGTAAAATCACTCACCAATGAAGCACATAAGCACCTTCTGCCCCTGTACCCTGTGAACTACAGATTCTGTGCCAAAACCTTCTCTGTACTAAGAACTTATCATCACTCCACTGAACACCAATCAGAATGCAGACAGCAACCTAGATCTAGGTCAGGAATTATTTATGTTGCAGATAAGGAGCTTGAGGACACTCAAAGGACACCAGAAACAGGCCCTTCTTTCTTACCTTCACCATGAACGTGAAGTCTGTCAGGGCTGGAGAATAGACGGCCCCACCAGCGCACGGGCCCATGATCAGAGAAATCTGAGGGATGACTCCGGATGCCATGACGTTCCTCTGCAGAAAGAGAAGAGCAACTGAAATGAACAGGCACTTCTTGAAAGAAGTATGAATGGTCAAAAAAATGAGTGAAAAAATGTTCAACATCTCTGGCCATCAGAGAAGCGCAAAGTAAAACAACACTCAGCATCCACCTTACTCCAGAAAAAATGGCTATCGTCAAGAAATCTAATAATAGCAAAGGCTGGTGAGGCTGCAAGGAAAACAAAACCCTTCTACGTCGTTGGTGGAAATGTAAGCTAGTACAACCATTATGGAAATCCACACAGAGATTCCTCAAAAAACTGAAACTAGAAGTTACATTTGACTAAGCTATTCTTCTAAGTATCTTCCTGAAAGAGTTGAAGACATCATATGACAGTGATATATGCATACTCATATTTATAGAAGCATGGTTCATTTAAAAGCTAAATCTTGGAAGCAACCTGTATGTTCATCAATAGATGAATGGATAAAGAAAATGTGACATTCACATGTGTAAATACCGAATAGTTTCTCTGGTGTGAACAAACTATAATAGTACATAAGATTCTAATGATATAGTGGACAATGTGAAATAGGAAGAAAGGGGCTAAAGGTGTAGGGAAAGGGGGAAGGGGAGGGAAAAGCTAATAAGGGAAAAGAAAAAAATATGAGAAAATGAACAAATGGAAATGAAGTGTTTGTAAAGGGGAAGAGGAGGAGGAGTAAAGGGGGAAGGGGAGAAGGGGTGAAGGGAGGGCAGGGACAAGGCGAAAAAATAAGAACCAAGACCTGTCATGTAAAGGTACAAGATCCCAACGATGAATGTAACTGTACTGTATCCCTAAAATGTAGCAATAAACTCAATGAGGAAAAAAAAAAAGAAAATGTGACATTAATACACAATGGAACACTACTCTGTCATAAAAAATATACTTGAGTCATTTACCAGAAAATGGACGCACCTTGAGACCAAAATGTTAAGTAAAATAAATCAGACACACAAGCTTAAACATTGCCCGGTTTCCCTTGTATGAAAAACCCAAAATATAAATAAAAAGCAAAATAAAAGATAACAGAAAATAGAGGAATACATCTTTTGCAAAAACAACCAAAAAATTGAGAAGGGAGAAGGGAAGGGGATGAAGAATTAAAACATGTGTTACATACATGTACCAACTCCTTACAAGGAATGAGTTCATTATATACTGCAAACATGTACCAATAAAATAAATAAACAGATGAATAAATAAGAATTCTATATTCAGGAAAACTAATCTTTAAAAATGAAGGAAAAATAAGACATTTCCTGATAAATAAAAGCTGAAGAAGTTCATCTGTAGTTGACTCGTTATGCAAGAAACACAAGGAGCATTTTTTAGTCTGAAATAAAAGACCACTAGACAGTAATATGAAGCCATGAGAAAAAAATAAGGAACATTAGTAAATATAACTTCCTGAATTAAAAAATACCACCACCAGGCTGAGGATTTAGCTCAGTGGTTCTGGTGCCTGCCTTGCAAGTGGCAAGGGCCTGAGTTCAATCCCCAGTACCAAAAGTAACAACAACAACAATAATAATAATAATACCACCACCATACTTCAGTTTGTAACATCTCTACTGTTGCTATATGGTTTGAAAGACAAATACCTAAGAATTATAAATCTGTTAATGAGTGCAGCATGTATGAAGAGGTAATCTAAGACAACAACATCATAAGGGAGGAAGGATGTACACAATGTTTGCATACTATTGAGGCTGATCTGGTTTTACTTTAACTAGTTTGAGTTATTAATTTGTCTGAAAAAAATCCATATATAAAACAGAGCCCCTAAATTCTTGAAGCAACCAGAGCCCCAAAACATATGAAGAAAAGCTGACAGAACTGAAGGACAAAATAGATGTTGAATTACAGCTGGAGATCTAACACTCTGAATAATAGAATAACCAGACAAAAGATTAATAGGAAAACAGTGCACATAAACAGCACTAAGAGCTAATATACGTGACAAGCTTTAGAGATTACATCATCCAACTCTCCATCAACACAAGACACATCCTTCTCAAGTACAGGGGTACATTCTCCAAGACAGACCATAAATTAGCCACAAGTCTTAAAATTATTAGAATCAGAGTATCCTTTCCAATCACAAGAGAATCAAACTATCACTAAGTAACAAAAGGAAAACTGGAAAATTCACAAATATATAGAAATTAAAACATTTCTAGGGCCAGGGATTTAGCTCAGTGGTTCTGCCGCCTGCCTCACAAGTGCAAGGTCCCAAGTTAGATCTCTGGTACCAAAAAAAAAAAAAAAAAAAAAAAAATTTAAATAGCCAAAAGGTAAAACACCAAGTTACAAGTTCAAAAATACTTTCAAATAAATAAAAATGAAAATACAGTATACTAAAGCTTATAGGATGCAGAGAAAGCACTCGTAAGAGGGTAATTTATAGCTAGCTGTAAGTGCATATATTAAAAAAACTCAAATCATTAAGCTAATCTAACCTTAAGAAAATAGAAAAACTAGAACTAATCTCCAAGCAGGAAGGAGGAAATAAAAATCAGAATAGAAATAAAGAACAGAGAAAAATATTGGATATTGAAAAGATCAAAATTGATAAACCTTTAAACAGAGTTTTAAAAAATAAAGAACTGTCAAACAATACATTTTTCTAAATACTAAAGGAAGAATTAAGAGCTAGGAATGTAGCTCAATGGTAAAGTACATGCAAGTCCCTGGGTTCAATCCCTAGCACATACAGAAGAAAAACAGTATTTTTTTATAAGCTCTTCCAAACAGCAGAAGAGGCAGCAGGATAGTTCTCTGTGTAGTCTCATGCTAACACAACTCTCCCCTTTCTCACATATAGTTCTCCAGAATGTACTGCGTGCTGGGAGTGGAGCAACCTGAGTGGAAAAGGAGCTGCTTAGAATGCCGAGGCTCTGTTCTAGTTCCCTTTAGGAACAGGGTGTCCCTTCATCATGTTAGCCCAGAGCATAAAGCCCAGCATGGTCCACTATGAAGAGTCCCTCAGCTGTGGTTCATAGCCAAGTCTCCATCTGACCCAAGCAGCGTTCGTGTGGCTTAAGGGACTGGTTCTCAATTAATCCTGGGCTTCTGTTGTCCTCCTGCATCTTAAGTCTGCTTTATAAACTTGTATGTCTGTTTTGTCTTACCAAACTGGGAACCAGTACACAATGAACCTACCTCAGAGTCAATGCTTCTAACTCATTCAATGAGGTAAGAATTAGTATAATACCAAAAACCAAAAGAAAATAGCACAAGATAACCACAGACCAATACTTCCCATAAATACAGTACTAGCAACTGGAACCCACACTTGTAAATCAATTATATACCATGATCAAATGGGAATTATCACAAGAAAAGGCTTTATCATTCAAAAATCAATTAATATAATGCTACAGCATATTACTGTACCCACATGATTACATCACACTTAAGAAAAAAAAAAGCATTACTGTACAGTAAGTACAAATTACAAACACATTCCACTCTGGGAGAACCTTCATAAGTCAGGTTTTTCATAAGTCCGACAAAGTGAGTTTTATATACCTTTGACACAAATATACAATGTATGTTGCTCTGCACTTCCTAGCAGTCTCCACTACATCATCACTGCTTTTCCTGTTGCTTCTAGAATCCTGGGCTCTGATTGGGCACTGTAGTAATGTACACTATTGCACTGTACAGTAAGCACACAGCAGCACAGCTGTGACAGTGTCCAGCAGACATGTGAGCTACTTCCACGATTTGTGCACATCTACAAGTAACATGAGGTCCACTGGTATCTGTAAAAGCTTGCAACTCAAATGTTCCTAAATTGAGGACTTACTATATTCTGGTTACGTAAGAGAATGTCCTTGTCTTCAGAAACACCTAGTAAGGGACTCCACAGTGAAAAAGGCATAATATCTCTGACATACTCTTTTTTTTTTTTTAATACCAGGATCGAACTCGGGACCTTGAGCTTGCGAGGCAGGTGGTGAAACCACCGAGCTAAATCCCCAGCCCTCTAACATATTCTTGATGCTTTAGAACTACATAACATGCAAATATATTGCATGAAAAGAAAATGATACAGCCAATGGGGAAAAATGTAAACAAATGGTGCATATGGGTAAAGGCAGAGTTCTTGAACTATTGTGGCAATTTTTCAGTAATGCTAGAAATAGTATCAAAATAAAGTTACCAAAAAAATAACAAAACAGAGAGAAGTGGAGGAATCAATAGGACAAGCAGCAGAAGCAAGAGTAGTAAGCAATGCAGATCTTAAAGCCACTAAAGCAAATCCCTTGAAAATAAAACAAAACAAAAAACCCAAATCCCCTATCCTGTACTCAACAAGATGTGTCAGACTAAAACCCAGTCAAGCTCTAAAATGTGGTGGTTTATTGCCTCTTCTCATGGGGCCATTCTTTCTTTCCTTTGTTTCTAACACAAAATGATTTGCAGGCTGGGAGCCAAAGTAGATCTTCCAGGCCTGAACTGTTCAGACCAAGCTGCCCATGGAACTAATGCTTTCTAGGGTTATCCCTGGGAGCTCAAATACAAAGATTAAAAAGTAGGTTTAGCTATAAAAAAATGACTTCTCAACAAATATAAGTAATCCTAAAACTAGAGTATTTTATAATATTCTGGTCAGGTGGGGTGGCACACACTTGTAAGAAGGGATAGGGATACAGCTCCATGCAAAGGTCCTGATTCAATCTCCAGGACTGCCAAGAAAGAACAGGAAGGAAAGAAAGAAGCGAGCCAGGGTAAAATAAATGTACTGTATTTCTGATGAATCACAAAGGGTAGGAACCAAGGAAAAGGAGAATGCTTCCAAGTCTGCATGCCAGGGGGTGACAACAGCAGCAGCCTGATGAGAAACAGTGTCTGTCCCCTTCCCTCCTTAGCCCTCACCTCCCTGGAAATGCTGCGAGGCTCTTTCTACCCATCTTCCCCTCCCTCACAGTATACTTCACATCTTAAATAGCATTCTGTTCCCTTTCATTTGTCTCATAATTTCAGTCCATAAATAAGCAGAAAGATAAATAAAATGATGTTCACTAAATGTTTCCAAATGGTGGGACTAGGAGTGATTTCTTTCTTCTTTGTCCTATTTGAACTTGGCATATGATCTTATAAATATTTTAACCAAAAATTTTTGTAATTATCTTTTTAAAAATCCTATTGTAGCAAATCCATTCATTTTAATCTTCCTTATTCCTTTTTTTTTTTTTTTTTGTACCAGGGATTGAACTTGGGTCCTTGCGCTTGTAAGGCAGGCCACCGAACCGCTGAGCTAAATCCCCAGCCCCTATTCCCTATTTTTTTCCTAAAAAAGGAAAAATAGTTCAAGTACTTTCCCCTTATGAACGACCTGTTTTCCCCTGTGAGGGACCTTCTATCTGAGAGAAAGAAAATCTCCACTCCCTCTTACTGTCTATCCAGCCTTCATCTCGTCCCCAGTGACACAGGAAGGAGCCCCAGAAGAGACAAATAGGACAGAAGACAATGAGATTGGGAAGCCAAGGAGCCAGGACACAGCCTAGAGAACCAGGATCTGTACTTCTTGCTCTTTCTTCATGTTTCTTACCAAGAAGATGTCTGCATAGCCAGCCAAGGACTCCACTCCCTCTTGGATCCGGGCTCCCCCAGAGTCATTCAGCCCAATCACTGGAGCACCCACTGTTATGGCCTGATCCATGATCTGAGAAAGCAGAGAAATCTTTTGTGAGACAATTGCTCTTGTTATCAAAAACAGCATTGACACAGCAAGGTGTTTTGTGGAAAATGTTCTGAGTGCAGCCAGGTGCATCCCTATAATCCCAGCACTTGGGAGCCTGAGGCAGAAAGATACTGAATTCAAGGCCAGCCTGAACTAAACAGAAAGACTACCTCAGTAAAACAACGTTCTGAGTGAACTTTTCCACACAGGAGGCAGGAACAATGGTTTTATTTCTCATGACAATTGGGTACTTCCATGGAAGACAAAGGACTAGATACACACACACACACACACACACACATTGGCAGGAACAATGGTTTTATTTCTCATGACAATTGGGTACTTCCATGGAAGACAAAGGACTAGACACACACACACACACACACACACACACACACACACACACACAATTTTTATTTTGTTTTGTTTGGTACCGGGGAGCGAACTCAGAACCCTATGCTTGCAAGGCAGGTGCAGTGCCACTGAGCTGAATTCCTGGCCCTGTTTTGCTTTTTGGTAGCGGGGAATCAAACTCAGGACCTTGGGCTTGTGAGGCAGACTGCAGAACCACTGAGCTAAATCCCTGGCCCTCCTGTTTTGTTTTTGAGACAGGATCTTGGTATGTAGTTTAGGTCAACCTTGAACTCACCACGTACCCCAGGCTGGCCTCAAATTCAAGGCGATCCACCTGCCTCAGCCTCAGAGTACAGAGATCACAGACATATGCCACCATGCCTGTCAAGGGCCAGATATTTAAAATGCTGAGTAAAGCTCCCCCAACATCCAAGGGCCAGACACTTCTCATTAGCAAGCAATAACACTGCTCACGGCAGCCACTTCTAGAACCATGGGCTCAGGCTGTAATATCTTCAACAGGCAGAGTTGCTCACAGTTATTCTTTTCTTCTTTTTAATGGGGAGGGGAAAAGAAGGGGAAGCAGAGTAAAAGGAGGACAGAAAAAAAAGGAGAGGCTGGGAGTAGTGGCGCACACCTGTAATCCGAACCCTGGGGAGGCTGAGGCAGGAGGATCATTGTGAGTTCTAGAACAGCCTGGGCTACATAGTGAGTTCCAGGTCAGACTCAACTACATAGTGAGGCCCTGTCTCCAAAACAAAAAAAAAAAAAAAAAAAAAAAAAAAAAAAAAAAAAAAAAGAGAGAGAAAAGAAGAATGAGAAGTAGGAAGATAATGAAGGGGAGGAAGGAGAAGGGGAGGAAGGACAAGAAGGAGAAGAAAAGAATGAGAGGAGGAAGAAGGAGAGTAAGAAGAGCAGAGAGATGGAGGAAAAGGGAAAGAATGAGAAGAGAGGAGGGGGAGAAAGGCTGTTCAGAGTTGTTCTGACAGAAGAACAAATTTTATTTTATTGTTTTGATACTGGTGATCGAACTCAGGTCCTTGTCTTGCAAGGCAGGCAGTGGAACCACTGAGCTAAATCCCTGGCAAGAAGAAATTTTAGACAATGGCAAAGCAGTATTTTCATAGAAGTAAATGTCAACCCAGGCCTTTTATTTATAATGTGACAGATTGTCTTCATGGGTCAGAAGTTCTGACAGCAAAATGAAGTACATTCCTATAGCCCTAGAAAGTTCATAAAACATGTTCACCTCCGTTGTCTCACTTAATCATAACAACAGAGGTGGTAAAAACAGGAAAATCAGAAAGCTTGAGAGTGAGCTGGGCACAGTGGCTCACATCTGTAATTCCAATACTCTGGGAGGCTGAGGCAGGAGGACTGCAAATTCAAGCCCATGCTGGGCAACTAAGGAATTTAGTTAAGACCCTTTTGCAAAATAAAAATAAATAGAAAGGGCTGGACATGTAGATCAGTACAAAAACCATGCATGGGTTCAGCTCCCAATACGACTGCCCAAAGAAGTTATGTGAGTGACCCACACCCTTAGGAGGAATGTACACCAGGACCTCATCTAGAAACCAGGTGTTCCACTGCAGAGGGAAGCCCTGCCCATCACTAATGGTGTAACTTTTATCTCCAAAAACTCCAAATGTGAGCTCCATTTTTATTCTTCCTCAAAACATCTAAATCTCGGGCCGAGGATCTAGCTCAGTGGCACCCTACCTGCCTTGCAAGCACAGTTCTGAGTTCAATCCCCAGTACCAGAAAAAAAAAATCTACGTCTCCCAGGGCTTTGTGCATGCTAGGCAAGCACTCTACCACTGAGCTACTCCCCCAGTCCTCTGCCAGTGCTTTTAAAATACCATCCATCAAGCCGGACGTGGTGGCACATGCCTGTAATCCCAGCACTCGGGAAGCTGAGGTAGGAGGATCGTAGTGAGTTCGAGACCAGCCTGGGCTACACAATGAGTTCTAGAGCAGTCTGAACTACATAGTGAGACCCTGTCTCAAAAAAAAACAAAAAATAAAATAAAATACCATCCATCATACAATCTTTACACTGTTCTTTACCTTTTAGCACCTGGACTCTCCCTCTAATCCTGGGACTCAGAACTGTTGGCATGGGGGAGGCTTTGTGAACAGATTTCAGCAGTTTATGAATCTTGAAGGGAAAAACTTTATATTTTTTACTAACTTTACCTCATCTCTAGCATTTCCCTCAAATATGAATATAGCCAAGAAAGCACAATAATTTTAGAAATACCTGTGACTTTGTCATTATTAGAAGCCAGATGTTTTTTGTTAAAGTTGTTGAATATTATTTTTATTCATGCAATGTGGAAATTATACCAAATACTAGCTCTACTGCTAATCTTGTTAATGCATTAGTAAAGAAGCACATATATTACAAATATGTTTTTTAAATATTTTTAGTCCTTTATAATTTTACATATTTTAGGTATATAAAAATATGAGAGTGCAAGCTTTGCTAGCCTGTCAAAGAGATCCATAGCACAAAAAAGTCCTAAGAATCCCTTGAGGTCAGTACCGCATCTTACACAACTCTGCCCCATACCAAGTACCCAGCTCAGGGACTTACACCCCCAAAATACTCAATATGCACTATATGCCTGATGAAAGTATTTGACTTATTTTTAATATTAAACACTTACTTTGCAGATCTTCTGAGCATGTGCTCCTGACAGACTGCCTCCAAAAACTGTGAAATCCTAAAAGGGAAACAAATCAATAAGGATGACTGAAGAGAGATAAAGATCCAGTAAGATGAGCCATGCCTGTACTACCAGCACTTGAGTGGCTGACGCAGAAAGAACTCCTTGAGTTGAAGGCCAGCCTGAGCTACACAGCAAGACCCTGTCTCAAACTGTCCACCAAGAGGAGTAAGAGGAGGAGGAGAAAGAAAATTCATAGATAAGTGTTTTTATAGGCGTTTCACAAAAACAAAGAAAATCTGATTTATAGATTCTATAAAATAGTGAATAAGTTACAAAAACAGAAAATCTGATTCATAGATTATTCCATAAAATAGTGAATAAAAATATCTTAAAGGGAGTTCATGCATTGTCAAGAGCAAAAGACTTAAGTCTTCACTCTATAATAATAATTTGTAGCTGAGGAAATAACTTCTGTAGGATTAACCCTAATATCAGATTCCATGGATATAATCTAGGCATTTCTATTTCTAGGAAACATTTGCTGTTTTGACAGGCAACAGCTGTTGTCTCTACTTATGGACTTCCATTACTTTCACATATAAAGGGCACCCTGTGGGTGTGGCCTCCCTTCTAAAACCTCACCAAAAAGACAGGCAGGCTGAGCACAGTGGCACAAGCCTGTAATCCCAGCTACTCAGGAGGCTAAGGAAGGTGCATCACAAGTTTGAAGCCAGCCTGGGAGATTTAGCAAGAAGACCCTGTCTCAAAATTAAAAAATGAAAAAAGAAGCTAAATGGGGTGGCCCACACTTGTAATTCCAGCACTGCTGGGAGGCTGTGGCAAGAGGACTGCAAATTTAAGCCCAGCTTGAGCAACTTACAGGGGAAAGGGAAGGCAGAGGAGGAAGCAGAGGAAGACAATGGCAATAATAGTGAATAAAAAACAGAACCAACACACAAGGAAGAGCAGACAACAGCGGAGAAGACTGAATAAACTTGAAGCAAACTGAAATCACAAGAATACCTCCCTTGGAGGAAACAGAAGCCTGCACACCTGCACTCAAGGTAACCAAAGCAGGGACAACCCAGAAACCAAGGAAAGTGAGGGGTGAGGAGGGTACTGGAAACAAGTTAACAGAAAGTCTGTGTTAGAAGCAGACTTCAGAAGGCCTCCCCACCTTGAGAAAAGGAAAGTTTATTTATTCCCTAAAGCAATTCAACCGGACTCTGCCATAAAGAAGGATGAGTTTCAGATATTCACAGCTAAACGCCTATATTCTTGAGACCATTCTCTTAAGTGAAATAAATTAGACACACATGTGTAAATACCGCATAGTTTCTCTGGCGTGAGAAGCCGAAAATGGAAATAACAACTGAAATGGATGATGGGAAATAGGAGTATTCAAATGGAAAGGGGAACAAGGGAGGAGGAAGGGAGAAAGGAAGAGACAAAAAAAGTGAAAATAGAAGGAAAAATAGAAGTAAAGCTTTTGTACATAGGGCAAGGAGATAGAGGGGGAGATGTGATAAAATAAAATTTATTTTAAAATTAAAAAATAAAATTAAAAAAAAAAAGAAAGAAATTGGACTGGGGATTTAGCTCAGCGGTTCCACCACCTGCCTTCCAAGCACAAGGACCCAAGTTTGATTCTGGGAACCAAAAAAATTTTTAAAAAGAAAGAAATTTAACCAGATGTATCGGGTTAAGTTTGCAATCAGCCTTCCCTCAACCCCCAACACACCAACAGCCAATTATCACATAAGAGACTGAAGATTTTACTCTGGAAAAGTGAAAAAGTCCCAGAAAAACACCCATAGATACAAACATCTTAAGCTGGAGATTTAGTTCAGCGGTTCTGCTGCCTGTCTTGTAAGCACAAAGGCCCAAGTTCAATCCCCGGTACAAAAAAAAAAAAAATACAATATAGATACAAACATCTTAGAGATCACATCAAAAAGGCTGGTTCATTACTCCCTCGTTCAGTATCCTTCAGGGACTCCTTGTCCCATTTCCCTAAAGCTCTCTTCAACCCAGGATATGAGCATTTTTTGTCCTGAGTACACAACACTTGCCTGGACTTTGTACAGTGACCCTTCCTGTTCTGCCCTGTGCAACCTACAGAGTAATTCACCTCAAGGCAACAATCCTTTCTCAGGAATCTCCACCCTCTCCTCCTTTCCACTTACCTCGGAAGCACAGGAGGCTCAAAAGCATCAATTTGATAATTGTTTTTGTCTGTTTAACTAAGTAGCTAGGTGAACTTCATGTCCAGAAAACACAGTAACTTTCTTTGTTCTATCTTTTCAGTGCTTTCCATGTGAATTTTTGCTCATTCTTATAAGTTGGGGGGAAAAAGTGACTTTTTCTAATTCAGCATTTGGTAGACCCGCTTATAACACATAGTCTTAACATTTCAAAAGTCAATGAGTAAATAAGTACTGTCTCAATGTGATAAATTTATAATTAACCAAACATAATTATTTTAGTACCACTTTAATTTCCTACCACTTTAACTTTAGGCTGGTGAAAGAAACTAAACATTCACATGTATGTATGTATATATATATATATATATATATATATATATACACACACACACACACACACTTCCACCTGTGGAGGTGGGGGGAATCCAAAATAGCAAACAATCTATTCTTTGTCAGATTTTATTGCTGCTATAACCAAGTAACACAACTTCAAAGGCTTAGAAGAACATGCTTACTACCTCCCAGTTCCCTAGTCTAGAAGTCCTACATAGGCCTTACTAAATTGAAATCTAGATTGGTGGGTTGTGTTCCTCTCTGAAGGATTCAAAAGGCCATCTGTTTTCTTACCTTTACTCGCTTCCAGAGACTGCTCGTATTCCTTTACTCATGGACTCCTCCTCCTCCATCTTCAAAGCCAGCTACGGCAAGTCCTTTTCACGCTGTATCGCTCTAGCTCTTCTTCAGCCTCCCTCTTCTATTGTATCACTCTACCACTGAACTACATCCACAACCGTTTTGATATTTTATTTTGAGACAGGCTCTTGCCAAATCACTCAGGCTGGCCTCACACTTGTAACGCTCCTGCCTTGATCTCTCACGGAGCTGGATCCACAGGAACGCACCACTGTGCCTGGCCCTCGTTCACATTTAAAGCACCTGGATGTCCACCTCAATGATCCAGGCAGGCCTCTCTATTGATGTCAGCTGATTAACAACCTTAATTCTTCTTTGCTGTGTAAGGTAACAACACACAGCTTTTGGAGATCAGGACTTGAACATTTCTGGAGAGTCATGATTTTGCCCAAGACATTCTCCTACAGTCTCAGTGTGAACAAATTCTGTCAGGATGCAGCCTGACTCCACTTTGAACACTTAATGCCCAAAGTTCAAGAGCCTGTGGTCCTGACAGTCAAATCCCCTTAGCCCATGCTGCATCTGCTGTATTCCTGGATACAAACACAGCCAGGGACAAGGGTGTCCTTCAGGTACTCACCTAACACTGCTAAAGGAATCTCACTCATAGGAAAAGCTCTTGGATCCTGGGACAATTTCATATAAACGTACATCCCTGTGATCCTTTCCTTAGTCCTCCCTAAGGACTCTTCCCTCCTAAGAAAAAAACTATAATACTCCAGACATAGGAAATGAAAACAAGAAGGCAGATCCCTAACCTTTCCCAAACTGTAAGATTTCATTCCCAATATTTTCCTCCTGTCTCTCTGAAAAGCTTAGTCCACTGGAGTTGTGAAATACCTGACTGAAGACATAAACCAATCTTCCATTGATCCGGCCCCTTCCAGTGACCACGCTGTCTCCAGGAAACTATTAGAGAAATAGAAAGATCAAGGTTAAAAAGTCCAAACACTTCTTTCTTTTAATGAATTTAGCAACTATACCTCATGGAAAGACAAAACACTAAATTCCTTAAAACTCAATCTGAATCCAAAGGAGTCCAACCCTTCCCTGAACCTGCAAAAGCAAACACTGGACTCCACTAATGGGGTGAAGAGTACTGTCCTCTGAAACTTCATCTTCCTTCCTGAAAACAAAATAATCAGGCTGGAGTGACAGCTCAGTGGTAGAGCACTTGCCTACCATGCGCAAGGCTCTGGGTTCCAACCCCAGCACTGAGGAAAGGAAAGGAAAGAAGAGGAGAGAAGAGGAGAGAAGAGGGGAGGGGAGGGGAGGGGGAAGGGGAAAAAGAGGGCCAAGTATTTAGCTCAATGGTGCCACACCTGCCTTGCAAGCACGAGGTCCTGAGTTCAGTCCGCAGTACTGCCAAAAAAAAAAAAAAAAAAGAAAAAAAAAAAAAAAAAAAAAAAAAAAAAGAAAGAAAAAAAAATAATCTAGAAATGGCTTAGGCCACCATCAGATGCTCATGGGAAGAAGAACATTCCCAAAAGCCACATACCCCTATCTTAAACCTTAAAAAGGCAAATCCAGCCAGGTGTGGAGGATTACACATACATGTAATCCTCAAACCTGGGAGGCTGAGGCAGGACGATCACCACAAGTTCAAGGCCAGCCTGGGCTACACAGTGAGACTCTAGCTAAAAAAAATTTTAAATACCATTTTTCATGGAAACCCATCAATCAGTGTAGTCCATAATGGTGCAAATGGAGCAAGCTGGTTTGGTGCCCACTTTACATCTCTTTGGTTGCAGAAATCATATAAATATATATATATATATATGTATGTATATAAAACGGATCAAAAATGAGGCCAGGGAATTCCATGTACCCATTGAAGGACACTAATTTTTGCTGATCTCAAGAACTCAGAGGTATAAACTTAAACCATGACAAAAAAGACACTGGCCAGCATTTAGGAGTACCTGGTTCTCAGAATACAACTAAAAGACATTCTCATGTCTTTAGAAAGACCCTCTTTCCAAATTTGTCACTGTGTACTAGCCAGAACCGAACCCACAACCAGAGCCCTGGGAACTGGGACCAAGTCAAACTGCACAGAGTTTTGAACAGCCCACCCCCATTCCACCTGTAGACAAAAAGGAGGGAGAGGGAGAACACAAGGCCTCAGCAGTACTTCTCAAGAAGACTCAGAGAAGCTCTGCAGACTCATTCCTCTGTGGCGAGCAGAGCCACAGCTGGGAAGTGTCCATACCACCACTCGAGCAGATACCTTATTCTTATCAGCATCCATTCCAAAATCTGCACATCTGTGTTCCACAAACAGGTCACTCTCAACAAAGCTGCCAGGGTCCACCAAGAGACTGATTCGCTCCCTGGCAGTCAGCTTTCCCTAAAACACAAAAGATCACTCAGTAGTGTTACCAAAGTTAGTAACCGAAGGAGAGTTCATACGAAAGCCAGAACAGGTTTTGCCCCTTCACCCTGACGTGAAACCCTTCTTTCTCTCTGACCTGCCCAGGGCAAACAAGTGTTATTAATAAACTTCATTTCAGACAGTGCGGAAATCAAGGTAGACAGGTGCTCCAGGAGCCACCTGACTGTGAAAGGGAGGAGGATGGGGCATGGTGTTATACCCTGTAATCTCGGCACTCAGGAGGCTGAAGCAGGAGAACTGCTATGAGATAAGGCCAGCCCAGTATTCCTAGTAAGCCCAAGTCCAGTCTGGACCCTAATTCAAAAAAGGAGGGCAACCTCTGCTCTTTCCCTCTGTTCCACTCCCTTAAATAAAATCTCCGGTCGGGAAAAAAAAAAAAGGAGGGCAAGGTGGAAAGAGGTGGGATTATGGAAAACCTAAAGCTAGAACAAGCTAACTACTCCAGAAACACTTATGAGGGGCCTAAGGAGTCTTTAAAAAATGGTGAAGCAGGTGGAAATGTAATGCAGGCTTAGGTGAAGGGCCGTGAGGTTCTACCCTCAGATTTCCAGGCTTCTCACCTCACCAGGCCCAAAGCCACCTATTTGCTCTGAACTCCCATAGGGCTCTTCTGTCTCCTCCCCCAGGGGCTTCTCCCCTTCCTCCTACTACCTCACACTGGGAGCCCAGCTTAGAGACCACACACCTGACAGGGAGCCCACAGCAAGTAACTGTTGCATAAAAAGGAATGGGACAGAGTGCTAACAAGCTTGCCTGAGAAGAGTTCAAAAAAACAAACAAAAAATAGCACTCAGGAGGATCTCAAGTTCAAGGCCAGCCTGAATTACCTACCAAAATCCTCTCTCATTATCCTCCAAAAAATTCTTAGAGCTAAGATTGGAAGTCCCAGTCTAACAGGAACCTCCACTATGCCACAGCTGTAATCCTAGCGCTTGAATGGCTGAGGCAGGAGGGCAGCAAATATGAGGCCAACTTGTGCAATTTAGCAAGACTGTGGCTCAGCACGCCTTGGGTTCAATCCCCAGGAGTGCAAACAAATAGTAAAATAAAATAAAAAGCCTCCACTGCTTGGGTTCCCAAAATCTCAGCCCCAACCAAATACTGTAGACCACTGTACCTCCCCCTAGGAAAGCAACCAAACTGGTAAGAATGTTTTAAACACTAAGCAATCCTATACACCATTATATAAAGCTGAGTAAGTCCCAAGAAAGAAATTTGGCAGTATGGAATTTTTTTTTTTTTTCCAGTACCAGGGATTGAACTCAGGACCTTTCGCTTTTGAGGCAGGCAGCCACACTACTGAGCTAAATCCCCGGCCCGGCAGCATGGAGTTTTAAAAAATTTTTAAACATTTATACCCTTTGACCCACTAATTCCACTTCAAGGAAATCTATCCTACAGAAATACTCCAAAACTGTTTAAAAGAAGGTGAAAGTCTGCCTCCCAACCAAACCATCTTTGGTAAAAGTTTCTGCAGGCTATATCTAAACCTAACACACTGAATATGGACTGAAACCTCTACGAATTATAAGCCAAATAAACCCCTTCCCCTCCAAAAATAAATAAATAAAATAAAATAAACCTAACATAATCTGCCTGGGAAGGGGTGGAGTGATGTTCCAGGAAGGAATTGGGCAACTGGCTCCCACTCAAGAGTACACGGAGCACTAATTGGCCTCTCCAGAGGATGATCTAACATTCTCTCACCCCATAAAGGGAGGGAACTCCACACACCACAAACCATCAGCCAAATTTACAGTTCACTCCCAGCTATTAAAAAGGAACTGTTACCTTCGGGCCTTTGTCAATAGAAATAGATGACGTGTGAATCAACACTTGATCTAGACTCTTACATCTTCTCCGACCCCAGCCTTCTCAGTCACCTCCCCCAAGCTTGTTAGTGTCTGAGTGCTCTTTGCCCACTAAGGTTCACTTCTGCATTTTTTTTTTTTGTACCGGGGATCGAATTTGGGACCTTGCACTTGCGAGGCGGGCAGCAGAACCACTGAGCTAAATCCCCAGCCCTGTCCTTTCTTCTTGATAACTTGTCCAGCACTTTGGGATAGACTCAAGCACAACTCAGGGATACACTGAGTAAGCCTGGCCCCAATCTGAGGTCACCTCTCCCAGTTTCTTTTACTGCTAAATTGCCCACCCAGTTTATCTTCGAAGGCCAGATGTGATCCTCAACTCATAATTCAAGAAGTCACGAAATCTATTAGTCTATATAACCTAGATGCACTACAAAAAAAAGTGTGAAGTTAAAAAAAAGAAAATCGCCTGATGCTGAAGCACAGAAATATGTATCCAAAGTATTTATTGCATTTTACTGGCTGGCCTATGAGTACCTGTAGTCAATATGATGCTTTCCTTTTCATAAATTAATCTGAAAAACACAATCCAGGCAGTGCAGGGCAGTTGCTCACTCCAGCCAGACAGCAGAGTAACCTGCAAATTCCCAGAGAGGCCACATGCTGCCTGCCCAGCCAAAGGATGAGCGCTGAGACCTCAGGAGGGTGCCTGTCTCTGGGCAGCACACTTCACCCCAGGTTAATGTGATTCTGCCCAAATTACTTCCCCAACCACATTCCTCGATTTTTCTTTACTCATCGTAGAAAAAAAAAACTTGCCCGCCACTCTTTCCTGGAGCAGAAAACTAAGCAGATCTTTTTTAGTGAGTGTCCATCGTTGCTTTTCTCTATTCTAAGAATAAGATTGTGAAGGAAGAATTATGATCATCTTCTGTATAAGACAAACTGATTCCTGGATATTAAATTGCACAAAAGTTTACAGCTGTTAAATGGAGAGCTGAACGGACCCGTGATAGGTCCGTCTAAAATTTCAAGGGGGACACCAGCGGGTGACGGCTCAGAGAAACCCATCCCGATTTCACCAGCTTCTAGACTGAGACCACTGATTCTCCAGGTGAGCGTCATTGCCCCGCCCCTCCCTGCACGGCGCCGATTGGCTGAGCGGCGTCTCGGGCGCTACGGGCCAGGAGCACAATGATAGGGCGCAAGCGAAGGGGCGGGCTCGCTCGACCCTCGGACTTACTCGCTTATGCTGCGCTTCGATGCGGCGCTGGCCTCCTCCCAGCAGTGCGGCGCTTCTTTTATTCTCTATACGTTCGTTAACGGAGGCGCCTTGGCTGCAAAGGCTGCGAGCCGCAGTGCGGAGACCACTAGATAGAACGCTGAGCCTAGCTCCAGCCGCCGCCACTCGTATGGCCGCCGCCATTGTTGCTCAGCAGGCGCGCCTCACTCTAGCGCACCTGAGTACGCATGTGCATAAAGCCGGGACACGCCTGCGTAGCGTCTGCGGAACGTAGGGATCTGGGGGCAGGGCTACTGAGCGTTTTTTGGGAGTGGAGCGTGTGTTTTATAGGCCTTAGGCGGTATTCAGAGATATGCAGAGAAAAAGCAAAGGCCTGGTCTTCGGAATTTTTGCCTGCCTTGCTGCACAGAAGAGGGAGTATATTCGTGCTTTCTTTTTCTTTTTAAGTTTATTGGTATATTTTAGGTATGCGGTATGATGACTTTGTACCTTTACAAGATATATCTTAGTTTTTTTCCCCATTCCCCTGCCCTCCAATCCTTCCAACCTTCCCTATTCAGGCTTTCTTTAGCCACCTAGAACCTCAGCTTTATCATCCCTCCTCCTCTAGAAAATGAGCTGATAGTAAACATTAACCAAGGTTAACTGAACACTGTGCCACATGTTGCTTTTTGCACTTACCATTAACTAGCCCATATTCTGATTTCACAAGTGAGGCAAGTGAAGCAGAGTGATTTGATCTAAAGACAAGACTGAAGATATGGTAGAGCCAGGATTCAAACTCAGAGATTCAAATTCTATTGAGTATACCAGGTGTTGAGCACAGTAACTTTAACTTGTACCTAGTCGGTTTCTTAAAACGGCTCTGTTAAAAAAAAAAAAAAACCCACGACCTTTGTTAAAGAATAGTAAAGCAATCTTTATTCAAGACTCTGTTACACTAAGGACCACTGCGATGATATTGACTACAGTTAACTCCCAGTACAAAGAAAAGGGGGATTATAGCCAAGAAGTAGGGAAGAAGAGGAACCTTGAAGGGACAGTGAGACTCTGGCTAAACCTATCAAAGATCTTGCTGAAGGCAAGCTAGGTTACTCAGACATCACCTGCGGGATGGTGGACGATTCGAAACCTGATCAGATGCAAAGAGTGATTAGGTACCAAGAGTAGAGGATTCCAGAGGAACTAACTTAGCAAGATTCTTGCTAAAACTAGACTCTACAAGAAAAGACCTTGGGTGTCCCAGGTCAGGCCTACTCAAGAAAGAACTCATTAGAACCTAACCAAAGTTTGGCTATGGAGAGAATCTTGTTAGCACAGCAGTTTCAGGATCAGGTTGGAAATGCAAATTCTAAGGTGCTTAGATTTCACCCCAGACATGTTACGGGGTTTGGGGGACTCCTTGTAGAGATTCCTTCTATGTATTTCTTTATCCTAAACAAAGAATTGGAGAAAAGCACAAGAGGTTGTAAGGTTGTACATTAAAGGTAGGAAAAGAAGTACACTCTGCAAGGTGAGAGCTGACCACTTTGAAAGAGAATACAGGAGCCAAGAGCTTAATGGCAGCCAGATACACAGGAAAGCTAAAGGTCCAAGGTCTGAAGTCTCCTGGCTAGACAAGGCCCACCTTCATCTGTCTGACTTAACAGGTACTACGAGACCTACATTTGAATCTCAGCTTTTAGGAACAAACCTAGAAAATAGAGAAAGGGCTGGTCCTGGGAGAACATGAGAATTTTGTCCACTCCTCAGGTTTAGGTCATATCTAGGATGTCCTATCAAAAACCTGCTTCAATTCCGGCAAGAATAATTGAAGATAGTTTTGTTTGTTTTGTTTTGTTTTTGATACCAGGGATCAAACTTGGGTCTTTGTGCTTGCAAGGCAGGAGGCGGAACCACTGAGCTAAATCCCCAGCCAAAGATAGTATTTTCTGATTGGTCCCAGTGCAGGACTTTGGGAACTGTGCTGTGTATGCATCCTGGAACTCCAAGATTGACAGGTCATGCCCCCTTTCCCAGACAGTTTCTCACGACCATTAGTTAAAGTTATCCGCTAAAACAGATCACTGGCCATGTTCCATCTTTTATGGAATCAGAAATGGAACATGGCCAGTGATGTTTTGGCAGGTAACTTTAATTCTGATGCTTAATGAAATTTAAGAATCACTGCTTGCAAGTTTTGAAACTGAAGTGTTGAGAGCGTGTCCGTCTGTTTCCCTAGCTAATAGGCAAGTGTTCAAGGCAAAGTACAAGGTGCACAGTTCTCATTCTTAACCACAGAAAACTGCTAAAGTTGATCATTAAGCTTTCCAAGACCCAGCTCACATCCAGAATCTTCAGAATGTATTTATAATGTTGAACTTAGCTAACAAGGCAATTTCATGTAGGTCTGGAGGTTTTCACCTACTCCTATGCATGCTTTCAGCCTCTGCTTGGGTATTATCTCCTTCAAGCAGTTTATCCTGATCCACCCTCTGTTAGGGCTAGGATAAGCATTGATCCCTCAGGGAAGCAAGAACTTTTTTGTGTTTAAGTAACTGGTGCTCGACAGATAGTCTGAAACACTGAAACATACTGCTCTTTCCAGCTTTCTCTTCCCATCTTTCTCCTTCTATCAGCCCTTTTCACTACTATGGTGAACTACCTGGAGTGGGTACTTTATAAACAAAAGAGGTTTATTTTATTTCACAGTCTGGGAAGTTGGAAATCCAGAGTATGGAGCTGTTTCTCACAAGGAACTCCTTGGCAGCATCACATCAGATCTCTGTGTGGTTTCTCCCTCTCCTCAGAATACCACCAGCATTCAATCATAGGGCCCCACCCCAGTGATTTAATCTAATCACTTCCCAAGATATGATTTCAGATTAAGTTTCTAGTGTCTGAATATGTTTTGTTTGTTTGTTTGTTTGTTTTGGTACCGGGGATCAAACTCGGGTCTTTGCGCTTGCAAGGCAGGGCCCAGAACCACGGAGCTAAATCCCCAGTCTCTGAATACTACTAACATATGACTTTGGGGATTAAATTCCTGTCCTGGAAGAAGGACAAATCATATTCAAACCACAGCATCCTCCTCCTTTCTCACTGTCCTCTCTGTCCTAGGGGCCTACCCATGGACTTGTATGTAATTCTATAGATCTGTAATACTGTTCCTCTTACCTCAAATGCAAGTCCCAATCTGGGGTACCTAGTGAAGGAGGAGAGTTGAGCTATCCAGGAATTGACCTTTTGAATACTGGCATACTCTGGTCTGCTTTCCTGTCATTAGTCCCACTTGAAGATTTCTATTTTTCAGTTGTTTCTGTATCGTGAGAAAGGAATTACCCTGATCTGCCTTTCATTTTCTTGGTTTTTGAGATAGTACAGATGAAAAATCTGGAATCAGGATACCAGTCTGCAGCATGGGTTCCATGGTACATGCTTGTAACTCCAGCACTCAGGAGTCTGAGGCAAAGGGATCTTAAATTTGAGGCAAGCCTGGGCTGCATAGCAAGTTCAAGAACAGTCTGGACTACATAGCAAGAAAGACCTGTCTAAACAGCAGCAATAACAACAACAAAATCTAGCTGCAAATCTTGCTTCTCCCTTGACCTCTTGAGTCACAAGATATTTCACAGTAGGGCCTCAGACCCCTCTATAACCACATAAAGGGGTAATCTGTGAAAGCCCTGAGTTCTCACCTCTCTCCATAACATAAAATTTAGCAAGTAAAGATCCCAGTCACTGCTGTCAGACCAGCTGTATTAAATCCCAAATCTTGCAGTTACCACTGTGTGGTCTTGGACAATTTAGCCTCAGTTTCCTTGTCTGTAAAATGGGAGTATTAGTTCTGCCTCATGGAGTTATAAGGTTTAAATGTGAGAATGTACATAAAATATCTGACATAATGCCTGGCAAACATGAAGTGTTAATGAAAAGTTACTTACTAAAGTCTTTTCTTATGCCAATGTCTTCCAGAGTTCTTCCTAACTTATTTTCCAGCAAGTTTAGTGTTTCTGTTTTAATATTTAGATCTTTAATCCACTTGGAGTTTAATTTAGTGCATGGTGAGAGATAAGGGTCCAGTTTTAATCTTTGGCAGGTTGAGATCCAGTTTTTCCAACACCATTTATTAAAGAGGGTATTTTTCCTCCAGTGGGGACAGTCAGCTCCTTTGTCAAAGATGAGGTAGCTGAGTACATCTGGAGTTGTTTTTGTGTCTTCCAGTCTGTTCCACTGATCCTCAGGTCTGTTTCTTTGCCAGTATCATGCTATTTTTATCACAGTGGCTTTGTAGTATAGTTTCAAATTGGGAATTGTTATACTCGCTGCCATGTGTCTGTTGCCTAGGGTGGCTTTTGCTATTCTAGGTCTCTTCCGGTTCCAAATGAATTTTTGGATTCTTTTTTCTAGTTCTGTGAAATATAGTGTTGGAATTTCAATTGGCAGTGCATTGAATCTGTATAGCAGTTTTGGTAGTATGGCCATTTTCACTATGTTGATTCTTCCTACCCAGGAACAGGGGATATCTTTCCATTTTCTTATATCCTCTTCAATTTCTTTTTTCAGAGTGCTGTAGTTTTCAATGTAGAGGTGTTTTGCTTCTTTTTAGATTGATTCCTAGATACTTCATTTTTTTGGATGCTATTGTGAAAGGAATTGTTTCCCTAATTTCTCTCTCAGTGAGTCTGTTAGTTGTGTACAAGAAGGCTATTGACTTTTGGGTGTTGACCTTGTATCCTGCTACTCTGCTAAAAGTGTCAATTAAGTCAAGAAGTCTTTTGGTGGAGTTTTTTTGGGTCTTCAATGTAGAGTATCATATCATCAGTAAATAATGACAGTTTAACTTCTTCCTTTCCTATCTTTATTGCTTTAATTTCTTTCTCTTGTCTAATTGCTATGGCTAATGTTTCCAGAACTATATCAAAGAGGAGTGGTGATAGTGGGCATCCTTGTCTTGTTCCTGATTTTAATGTGAAGGTTTTCAGTTTTTGCCCATTTAATATGATGTTGGCTGTTGATTTTTCATAGATCCTCAGTAGCACAGGAACTAGCAGAAAGAATCAACAACTGGGATCTCCTCTTATTAAAAAGCTTCTGCACTGCAAAAGAAACCCTCAACAAAACTAAGAGACAACGTACAATGTGGGAAAACAATTTTACCAGCTGCTCCTTAGACAAAGGACTATTATCTAGAATATATAAAGAACTCAAAACAATCAGCTCCCCCCAAATATAAAGACCCAATTCAAAAATGGGCATC